ATTTGAAAGATATTTTAAGTTTGTATGAAGCATCACATTTTGCCTATGAAGGTGAAGACATTTTGGATAAGGCTAAGAAACTTACAACTGAATACCTCGGCAACGTCTTGTTGGAAATGGACTCTAGTGATAATTATGAGGACATGAAAGAACTTATTCGACACTCTCTAGAGATTCCATTGCATAGGAGAATGTTGATGCTAGAAGCAAGATGGTACATTGAATTATGCATGAAGAAGGAAAGAACGAACTTGGCGTTGCTTGAACTAGCCAAGTTAGAGTTCAACATGGCTCAATCAGTACTCCAACAAGACCTGAAGAACACATCATGGTAATGGAATTTTCTATTTTTCTAAGTCAAATAGGTGTGTTGATTCAGTGATGAGCTCACGATAATTTGATTGTCATACTTGCTATCATTATGAACTGTCTTCATAAGTTATTTTCATCGTTCCTCATAATTGATCAAATGTGGATTTTTCAAAGTTATCAGAGATAGTTACATACCAAATTATATGAAAATATGTTGATAGTGTTGCAATGGTAGTCGTTTTGACGATTAATTAACATTTGCTTAAAAAATTTAATTTGAAGGTGGTGGAACAATCTGGGGTTAGCAAAAGAGTTGAGTTTCAGTAGAGACAGATTGGTGGAATGCTTTTTCTGGGCAGTTTCACTGATGTTCGAGCCTCAATTCAGCTCATATCGTCGAGGGTTAACAAAAGTTTCCTCATTCATCACTACAATTGATGATATTTATGACATTTATGGGACAATGAACGAGTTAGAGTTATTTACCGATGCAGTGGAGAGGTAATATTTATTTCCTCAAGAAAAATATATAACATCTACTCTGAAATACGCATTATGTCCATTGAAGTTGAATCTACAACAAATACTCGTGAATATTTATTTCGTATTCATAAAAATATGAGATTTATTTTACTAACATGTAGAGAAGTTTTAGAAATATCCAAATAATTATTTGGGTATGTTTCAGGTGGGACATTAATGCTATTCAGAGCTTACCGAACTACATGAAGATATGCTTCTTAGCTTTGTACAACACTATAAACGAAATGGCATATGGATTTCTAAGAAAACATGGATACAACATCATCCCCAATTTGGCCAAATTGGTATGATTAATTGGACCAGATCACATACCTTGTTCGCTTATTATAACTCGCTAATAAGTGATGTGATTTTTTGTTGTTTTAGTGGGCCGATATGTTGAAGGCATTTTTGAAAGAAGCAAGATGGAGCCATAAGGAGTATGCCCCTCCAACATTCTCTGAATACTTAGACAATGCATGGAGATCTGTCTCAGGATCAGTCATTCTAGTCCATACTTGCTATCTTTTAGATGGTGATGAACATTCGAATGACTTCGATTCCACGAAGAAGACATTATTGCAATTAATGAGCAATGATAGGATTCTTCAATGGCCATCTATCATTTTTCGCCTATGCAATGATCTGGCAACCTCTTCGGTAAGATTGTCGTGCTAACTACTAATATATTATTTTGTGGGAAAATTATAACTTAGCTTGAAAATCTAGACAATGGTATTGGAACGACTTGAACAATTTGGAGAGATATAATTTGATTAAACTCGAGTCCGTCTTTAACGATTTCTAAGATCCAAATGATGTGAACAATTTGACTCTCATCTCCTATAGTATAAACTTAGAAATCAAACTCTCACCCACTTGCGTGCAACTAAAGTAATATTGGTTAAGTGAGGTGTATGATGTGTATCTATTCATTCTACTTGTAGACAAATCATTAAGAGAGCTTTAGATTTCATTATTAAGTATCATCGTAATCATGAGAGGTCTTATGGTTCTATATATGTATAGCAACCCAATCAACCCCTTATGACTATGGGTGTAGTACCCAACTTAGAGATTTCTCCCACAAAGACTAGAGCCAAACATACACAAAAGTGATCAAGATTTGTGTAATATATTAGACAAAATATAACAAAGATGGTAGACACTTACATAGAAAACTTTAATTTTTCAGTATCAATATAAAAAGTTTCAAATCTAAGGACTTGAATAAAACTACTGATTAATTGAAGGACTTAATCGTTACTTGAATGAAATAAAAGTAAAACGCTAGAAGAGGGATCTAAAATTCTAGTTCAAAGACCACAAGAACAAAATTCATTTACAATTCTAGACTACAAGCATAATTATAACAGAAGCATAATAACCTAAAAACTAATAAACTAGCTATGCATCTATCGCTCAACCTCTTGGTTATCATCATCCCTAGAAGTAATTCTACCGAAAGAACATGCAAATATGTAAGCTTTAAGCCCTTGTCTTATTTTTTATTCTTCACTTATAACAGTTCTCAATGGCATGGTTAGTTTTTTTGGAGTCTCTACAATATTTTGGTCTCTGCTCCATCTGGTGAATCACTTAATTTTCTCATCTCCCCGGAATGCATAAGCCACTAGCTACGTATTCTTAGCAATGTTGGAACATTCAAATTTTAATTTTTACTCTTGTTATAAGAGATCTTCATATGTAGCCGTGATGTTGATCTAAGTTTCACTACAACATTCGAGTCCTTTTATGCTCACAACAATATTCATTCAATTCTTCTAGAAGGTTTGAACAAGGGTTAGCTATGCAGTCTTGAAGGTTTCAAGATTTGAACAAGGGTTAGCTATGTGGAAATTTGGATGGTTTGTATGTGGTTATTTTTCAAAAGCTCATTGCGGTCTTTATGGTGATCATCAGGAGGAAATAGCTCGAGGTGAAACAACAAACTCCATCTCCTGCTACATGAATGACAATGGAGTTAGTGAGGAGCAAGCTAGGCAACACATAGAATGTTTGATCGATGAAGCGTGGAAGAAGATGAACCAAGAGTTTTTTTTAATTACGAAGGATATAGTTGGTTCAAATGCGTTCGTCAAATCTTTTCTACAATCAGCGATCAATTTAGCAAGGATGGCTCATTGCATTTATCAAAGCGGAGATAGCCATGGCACTCCAAATCCTGAATCAAAGAAGCAAGTCCTAGCCCTCATAGTTGAGCCCATCATAGGTTAAGTACACGAGTATGATCTCTCGTAGATCTCCTATGATATGTAGTTAATGTTATGTCTGAGTGATCTGGACTATTGAGTTTGTATTATTCCAATCTTTCATAACTGTATTGCTGTTATTCCTAATTCCAGTTTATAAGTATAGTTTACATCCCGTATTAAATAATCACTCTGTCTTGGGGCCGCACTTTGTTGTTTCCATGATTCACTCATGATTAGGAACAACTTCTAAATAGCACTTTGTATTAATGAATGGGTCATTTGGTTGTTGGATTGTGGTGATGGATTTGTGTTTCGTGAATCAAGCCATCGTAACTATTGGGCCTCGATTTGGGCTTAGTTATTTTATTGTTTACTGTTTAGTATTTTATTTATTAATTGTCCTTTTTAGTAGTTTCCTTGTTTAAGTAGGATTTGGGTATTGTTAGTTATTTCCTTACAAGAGTAGAAGTCATGTTCTAGATAGGAGAAGGTAGAGGCTTCTATACATATAAATATGTACTAGTTCATTGGTTTAATGTGATGTTAAAGATTGGAATTTATTAGTAGTTGTAGTTATTTTTGTTCCTCTGAATATTCTCTTCGTTCTAACTCTCTTTCTTACGAATATCTTTCAACATCGACGATGCACGTTATGTGAAGGTTCTCACTGAAGAAATACACGTTACCAATTGTTACGTGAAGGTTCTCAACGGAGATATACACGTGATAATTGGTATCAGAGCCTGATTGCTCGAACGACTATCGTGATCCGGAATGATGGCGCCAAAGAAAGCTACGCAAGCATCGATTGCCTCCGACCAGCTAGCGATCGACAAGGAGCTCCTCCAAGGCCTCCTCTACGCAAAGCAAGACGCCACCGTGCGGATTAACGCGATCAGTCAACGTTCGCAGTGAATCGAGGAGGGTATCCTAAAGCCTTTTGGAGATGATGAGGCAGCTCATCACGAACTCCGACGAGTCCTTCTTCCAGGCAACGTTTGATAGTGGACGTCTCTACCAGTGAGGAGCTAACCGTAGCTCTTTCATCATCACCCGCTCTTGACGATGAACTAGCCGTAGCTCACATTCGACAATCGATCACACCACCACCCATTGTCATAGCGACCTCGACTGTCGTAGCCGAGAAAGTCGTGATTCATGCCGCAAACGAGGAGCTAACCGCAACTTCCCTGTCATCACGCATCGCATCCCCAATTTCACCAGCCGTTGTTGTCGAGCTCACCCCAGCTTCTCCCCCATCCCCGACGGCTCAAGATAGGGTGCATAATCTTAGGTGCATAACTATGAGTAACCAAATCTGAACCCTTCTTTTAAGTGATTGCAGATCTAAGGGTGGAGAGTTAAAAGAATTTATTTTCTATAGTTTTCTTGATTGGATCATATCTTCTTCATTCTAACTCGGATTTCAAATTTTTTTTTTTTTGCACAGATGGAACGAGTTTGTTGTGCTCTACAATATGATATCAATTTTCAATATTTTTTGAGAAATTTTTTTTCATACTTTTCATTACCAACTCCATACCATATGGTATCTCCTTCGTTTTTAGTCGTTTTCGAAATTTTTTGGACAGAATGAACGATTTAATCATGAACTATTGGATTTCAAATTTTTCTGGGTGAAAAATTTTCATACCTCTCATTAGCAACTCCATACCATACTATACCACCCTGGTATGGGGTGGTATTTTTCATACTATATGGTATGCTGTAATATAATACTAGTCAATACCATATGGTATAGACTGGTAATAACTGGCAAATTTTTGAGTTAAAACGAGTGAGAAATCGTCCGTTAAAGATTAAGGGAAAGAAAATTAAAGGTTTTTCGAGGAGAGAGAAGGAGACGCTGATGTGGCGGATTCTTATTGGGTTATGCATGGGGTTATAAAACAACAAGGTTACTCACTGGATCTACTCCCATCCCCGACGATGCTAGAAGCCACACCGCCACAGTTCGCCCTTCTGTCTTCCGTCATTGTTATGGCCATGAAGGAAGTTAACCGGCCCACATCATCCGCCAAACCACCCGCCACCGAGGAACTCACGAACCCCTTGACCGATGAGGGGAAATTCGATTCCACAATCGCCAATGACGAGGAAGCCCTAGCACAAGTTGTAGAGGAACTCATTGAGAAATAGGATTGCGGAAAGTAAATTGACACTTTGTTCGTGGTTCGGCTCTCGGGAGGTGAGACCTACGTCCACAGTGAAGGGGAATTTCTTATTACGTTACCTGGCCAATCAGCCATACATCATTATATATACCCTTCCACAACTCGGCTAGGGTTTATAAATGACGAGATGCTCTTTCCTAGTCTCAACATGACAAGGAGTCTGCATGCCTATGCAATGTATATGATGGACCACCGAAGGTGGATCACATCCCAATACGCCCCCGCAAGCTGGACGGTGAAGATCACAAACATTCAGCTTGGACAAGAGAGAGCGAAAATGATCTGTGCCCAGACCTTTGGTGAAGAGATCCGCCAACAGGTGCTGAGAGCTAATCTTGCATGGTTCAATGTTGCAAGAGATGACACGCTGCCGAACGAAGTGAAAATCCATTTCCATGTTCTTAGTGCACTCGTGGAAGACCGGATTAGCAACGATGTGAAGGGCTGCTTGGTTGTCGCAATAAAGCGGAGTTGGACTGGACTGTGGTACTCCCAGCTCACTTAACAACTAGCGAAGGCAAAGAACCTCACTAATAGTGCTGGCCATGGCTCGATATTCAGCCTAAGCTGATGAATGAGCAACAACCTTCTGCTTCTTGGTCCGCTAGGAGACAGGTGCGGAACCGAGACTGATATAGAATCCTGTAGTAGAACGACGAGTGGTCTGACATCCACCCCAATCTGCATCACAATAAGCCACAATTCGAGCGATCCCAGTGAAGGAAAGAACATTCCATGACCCGAGGAAGACTTCAAGTAACGAAGAATGCGCATCGCAACATCAAGATGCATCTGAGTAGGTGTATTGACAAGCTGACTGAGTATGTTCATGCCATAGGTGATATATTGTCGCGTAACTGTGAGGTACTGCAGGCGAACGACGAGCCGAGGATAAGAAGAACCATCAACTAATGCCTCGGAGACAGAGGAACGAGTGAGCTGATGATTATGCTCTACAGGAAAAAGGCTAGGACGAGCACCTTGAATCCCGGCTTCCTCCAGAATGTCAAGTGTGTACTTCCTCTGACTGAGTACAACGCAACCTCAAGCCCCAAGAAATACCGCATGGAACCGAGGTCCTCGATGCTGAATCGCTTGTCGAGAAAACCCTTAACGCGAGTAATGAAGGCCATGTCATTACCAGCTAAAAGGACATGGTCAACATAGATTAATGCAGCAACAAAAGATTCCCCACGACGATAAATAAACAGAGAATCATCTGTTGGAGAAGCACGGAAACCAAGTTCACGGAGAGTAGTGGTGAACTTGTGGTACCATTTGCGAGAAGCTTCCTTGAGACCGTAGATAGACTTCTGCAGATGACAAACATGGGTATCTCCAGGTTCCTGAAATCCAGGGGGAACGTGCATTTAAACCTCTTCATCTAAATCACCATGGAGGAACGCGTTTTTGACGTCTAATTGCTGAAGATGCCAACCACGCTGGACAGCTACAGCTAAGAGACAACAAATAGTGACAAGTTTGGCAACTGGGGCAAACGTATCGTGGTAATCCACCCGTTCAACCTGAGTATACCCCTTAGCCACTAGACGGGCTTTAAACCTCTCAATCGTACCATCTGGGAGGTATTTGATCTTGAAAACCCGGTGACAATCAATTACACGACGACCTGGAGGGAGAGGAACAAGTGTCCAAGTGTGAGTAGACTCAAGTGCTGTTACCTCCTTGCGCATGGTAGCCCGCCAGCGGGGGTCACGAAGAGCTTCCTGCCAAGTTTGAGGCTCTTTATTGCTGGTGACAGCGGCAAGAAAGGCTCAAAACTCCGGGGTTTCTCTATTGTACGAGACATAATGGGACAAAGGGTATTTTACGTTCGATGCCAGCTGCTCATACTGTTTCTCGATGACATAGATATTAGGATATTTGGGACGATTACGTTGATGAAGACCATGCCCAATAGGTGGAGAATCTGGGGAATTATTAGCTTCCTCTGCCGAGGAAGGATCTGGTGGTGACGCCGGAGAAGTAGGTTACGGCAAGGAAGACGACAGCTCATGTGCGTTGTCCTTGGAACTTGGAGAGGAGGACGATGTCGTCGTAGGATCTAAGGCAGAAGTAGGTCTCACCAAATTGTCAAACGGAGCAACAACTACAACCTCGTGATCATCATCAATGGGATAGTCGGACAGAGAGGTACTTTCCAAAGCGTCAGCGGGAAGCCAATGATACTCACGAGGGTTGGGACTATGAAATGGGAAATGCTTTTCGTGGAATATAGCATCATGACAGAAAAAGATTTCTGCATGGCCAAGTCGTAGAAAACATAGCCCTTCTTTATTGCCACATGTCCAAGAAACACACTTGCTCGCCCCTGTTCCGCGAACTTGTGGAGACTGCCACAATTATCTTTCGCATAAACCAGACAACCAAATACCCTTAGATGTGCATAGGAAGCTGGTTTATCAAACAAGATCTCAAATGGGGTCTTTCCTGTTGCAGTAGTAGGCAAGCGATTGATCATATAGACAGCAGTAAGAATGCACTCGCCCCAAAAATGAAGCGGCAACCCTTCCTGAAAACACAAAGCACGAGTCGTATCCAGTATATGATGATGTTTGCGCTCAACCACACCATTTTGTTGAGGTGTGTCGGTGCAACTTGTTTGCAGAACTATGCCAAATCGCTCATAGAAATTTGTAGAATAGGCGTGTTGAATTCCATTCCATTATCCGCTTGAATGCGTCTCACCTTCTTGCGAAATTGTGTATGAACAAGCTCATAGAGCATCATCAAATATCGAGCAACATCTGACTTAAATCTCAATAGATAAACCCATACATCGCGACTAAAATCATCCACAATAGTCAAGAATTAGTGAGCACCACTGAGCGATGGAACTTGATATCCTCCCCAAATATCAATATGGAGTAACTCAAAACAAGCTGATGTCTTTATTGAACTGGTGGGAAAAGGAATCCGACTCTGTTTAGCACAAAAACAGGAATGACAAGGGTTCTTGTTTTTTACTAAAAGACACCGAAATAGATGAACTAAGCTGTGAAAGCTTTGCTGGAGATGGGTGACCCATGAGAGCATGCCAAACTTCCTTCGACAACGTCTCCTTCCCATCAGCAGAAAACACGAAACGATCCTGACTCCTAAGCATCATGGAGAATCCCCCTCCCAATCACGCTTCTGGAGTGTAAGTCCTGGAGCAGACACATGTCATGAAGAGATATAAAGGCAACATTGTTATCTCGAGTGAGTCGACTAACTGACAGAAAATTGCACTGAAACTCTGGAACATGCAAGACTTGGTCTAAATGCAAACCCGTAGAAAGCTTTACTGATCCAACCTTTGCAACTGGCACACTGTCACCATTCGGAATCTTACCGGCTGACTATCGAGTTTATAATCTCATTACTTAGCAACGAATCATCTCTGGTGATATGCTCGTTACATCCTGAGTCGATTAGCTATTCAGAAGAGTTGAAAATATTATCTTCCATGTTTGCGGAGGGATCGTCCACATGTGCGGATTGATTGAAGAACTGTCGAAGCTGTTCCAGTTGATGAACAATGAAGTCGGCTACTAAGGTCGCCTCGGCTTCAGCTTTTACAGCTCGTGGCTGCCGATCCTTGGACTGTACTTTCACAGGAGGTGGACGACGTTTCTTATCAACTTGAGGAGCCTTGTCGTCTTGACTTGATTCTCCACGACTAGGCTAACCAATGATGTCATATCAATTGGCTTTAAAGTGACCAACTTTTTCACAGTGTGTGCAAATTGGGCGGCTCTCACTGTTGCATGGACCGTTACGATCGACGCTATCACCTTGTGAAGCAAACGCAGACGCTTCAGCTGTCGGATGACCCTTTTGAGCGAGGAGGCGCTGCTGTTCATCGTTGGATACAATATTGAAAGCTTCGACCAACGTGGGAGCAGGCTTCATCGATAGAACTTGACTGCAAACAATGCTGAAACTTTGATCTAGACCCATAAGGAAGTCAAAAAGCGTTGCCATCTCTTCCTTTGCAAGTATGCGTTTCTCAAGACCACACTGACATAATCCACAAGTACATGCTTCTGTAGGTGAGATTGACTGATCTTCTTCCCACATATTTCGTAGCTGGGTATAGAATGAGCACACAAACAACTTTTCTTGCCATAAGACTGAGATTAGACGACGTAATTCATAGCCACGGGTAAGGCTGCCTTGCCCAAAACGTCACTACAACAAATGTGTCTCTTTGTGACCTTTTCGATGCAACTAATTTTTTTTGGTCGCCAAAAAATTATTATTTATAACCAATTATTTTTCGGTAGTGAAAAGTTTGATGAATTGGTTACTAATTAATAAAAGATTTTTTATAACCAAATTAAATTTGATATAACCAAAAAATTCGGTAATGAAATGTTGAAATTCTTTTCACAACCAAAACTATTTGTTAATCATCTTCATACTTTTTAAAGTAACTAATATGTTTGGTCACGTTAACATGCAAAAATAGTCACCAACTAAAGGAAAATATTTATAACCAAATTGACCTCTATATGACTAAAAATATTGGTAATAAAAGGATTTGTGTTTGTCGTCTGTCAGCTGAATGGGAGTTGCCCTTTTCTATAGATAAAAAAAGGAGTTGTGTTTGCCTCCATCCTTTGCTGCAACAACCTGTGTCATTCCTAATCCACATTTCTTTTAAGTCTAGGCCGCCAATAAAAGCGAAATTATTGAAGCAACTCTTTCAAGAAAGGAATACAGACTCGTCGCTTCGATATCCATCATTCTGGTCCGCTGGCTCTTCCAAATCCCTAGCCATCGCCGCTCAATCTCCCAAACTCCTTCGTCCGCGAAATGACATTCGCCACTCACTCTTTCGCCCGCGAGTTCACCGTCGCCGCTCACTTCTTCGCCCGCGAGATCGCCGCCGACCGTTTCAAATCCCTAGCTGTCGCAGCTCAATCTTTCAAACTCCTTCGCTCGCGAAATCGCAGTCGACGCAAACTCCGTCTCCCGCGAGATCACCGCCGCTACTCACTCCATTGACCGCGAGATGACCGCCAACTCTTCCAAGTCCGGTTCAGTCTCCACTCGCCACACATTTCTCACCAGGCAAGTTCAAGGACCGCATCAAGACTGGCCACATCATCTACATGCAACAATGTTCTGAATCGCAGGTGAGGTCTATATCTTAGCGGCTTTGTTGTTTTTTTAACTCCGTTGAAAATGAACTGTTCAATTTTCCTGGTTATTGCTCCCTCATGGTGTGATTTTCCTGGTGGTCACGGGAGCAAACAAGGGGATTGGGTTTGAGATTTGCAAGCAGTTGGCTTCTAATGGCGTTTTGGTTGTTTTAACAGCCAGAGATGAAAGCAGAGGCCTCCAAACAGCCTCAGTTTGGTTTTATTTTGCCTAATTGCATTTGACGGGAGTTCCATTTTTGCCAGTAAACCACTCTTCTTTGATTGCCGTTTCGGCCTTTCTATAACCCTGGGAAGCTGAAGTATTTCGTTGTCTGCTTGTAGGCATTTAGCAGCTATTGTACGAAGCTGTCCTGGCTTCAGACATGGAGAATCAAGGTGGCTCCCCAACCTGGTCAGTAAAATCCAAGAGTAAGTATTCTATTCTGATTGCAGTCTAATTCTGTGTTTGATCATGGTTTCAAAGTAAGAATAAGGAATGGTTTCAAAGTAAGAATAAGGAAATTGCAAGTCGAGGTCATAGTTCAACTTGTAGGAATCTGGGTCATGGAAGTTCTACTGGAAAGAAGATTAAGGAAACTAAGCTAGGGATAACAATTCTTTCTCGTGAAGAATGCTTAGACTATGATTACTGAGTAGCAGTTAAACATGATAAAGATACTTTTGCTTCATGAATCTAGAAAAGACCGAGAATCTTAAATTCAAGCAAGTCCAGCAATTTACATGTTGTTGGCTGTTGCTTCCTTCTTACTTCTTACTTATGTAAAACAGGAGAACTTTGGTATGTGCAGTAGGCGAAAATGCAGACGATCGAAGTAGATTTGCTGATAGAGGCACCAGGGGAAGCAAGTCTAATAGAAGTATGCCTGACTTTTACTTTTTTTATGCTTCATTCTCATATTTAATATAATCATATCCTCATGTCATTGTTATATTATATACTGATTTGCTGGGAGTGACCTTATTTGACCATTTGCTTTATACCGAAATGAGTTGCTTGAGCATCATTTTGTTTGTTCTTTTGAAGAAATATTACGAGGACAAAGGCTATTAGGAACCAAGCACAATGTTGTGCATGTGAACATCCTGAAGGGAAGGAGGTAATGAAGCCATAAGATGCCTCTGCTAGTGCCTTCATGAAATAACAGGGTCACTTAGCAAAGATTTCTAGTCAAATGGTTGATTTTTGAGTGTCAATGCAACCTGTCGAGTCAAAATAATTTACTATTATGATTAACTTATCTGTGTATTCACTGCTATTCTCGCTATTGTCTGCTGGGTTTCATGGGAAATGGCAAAAAAGGTCCTCTTGTTCATAATAAGACAGGTTGCGTCATCTCCAATTCTGTCTCCACTCACCATGAGATGCTCGCCAGACAGCTAAACGATCGCGTCAAGAAACGCAAGTGTGTTTCTCGTCTCTTAGTGGCTCAGTCGTTACTCTAAATGTTCTTGGCTATATAGCCCACACTGCTAGAATATTTTGGACGATCTCAACTGCTGATGCAGTGAACTGATTTTTGGAATAATTAGCTATATGTTCTTGTTTAGCAACTAACTAACACATAAGTTGGGCCTCATGTTTGCTTGAATCTCTTCTATATTCACTGTTGTGAAAGTAAATTCTGTTGTGGATGCGTTTCAATCATTTAAGTTGTAATATCTTACTCTTGGTACTTTGTTTGTCTCCAATGAAGTATTTCTTATTGTTGTACTCCTGGTGAAGATCAACTCATGGCCTCAACTGCATCTCCCCAGCAAGAAAGTGATGTTACTACTACACCCAGTAAGTACCTCTCTCTCTCTCTCTCTCTCTCTCTCTCTCTCTCTCTCTCTCTCTCCTTTTACTATTTCTAACTTATGCTTTCTTATGATTCTTCTTCTGGTCTTAAATGATGGTTTGTTGGGTTTTTGGGAACAACTATTCCTATGTCAAAAACCACAATAAGGTAACATGAATCCTAATCAGTATGCTATGTTTTCCCCTTTTGATTGACAAGAGAAGAGGCACAATTCAACTAACAACGACAACATTACACAAGCCAAGGAGAAACTCTTCACCAAGGAAGCTTCCCAAAGGATGTCTTAAGGTAAGGTTTGATATAGCAGGATATCAATTTTCAAGATTATTGAATCGATTTTGCAAATTCAGTTGTTGAATCTATTTCACAATGTAGAAGAAGAAGAAGAAGAAGAAGAAGAAGAAGAAGAAGAAGAATGTTCTGGTTCCACTTTGTTGACCTTGCTCTATTAATGATTTTTGTTGCACTATTTAGGAATAGTGTGGAAACTTCATAATCTGGCTAATGAGAATCACTTGCCCTGGAAACTTCAATCTATTACAGCTACAGTTTACAGAGACTGTTAGAATCAAGATGCATTGAGTAATTCAGAGAAGGATGTGTTTTTTCACCCTCTTTGGTACTTCTTGCAGCTCGATCGGGAAACTTTGGTCAATTTCCAGTTGGTAGGATCCTATGAACCAACTTTGGTCAATTTCATGGCTGTGAAGGCCAATTTCGGAGGTTGAGAAGTCTGACAACCCTTAAGTGAGTCTTTTGGTCCTTAGCTTTCTAAGGTTTTGGCTATTCTGCAGAATGGGTAGCACCCGTTTTCTGATGTTAACCAATACGTTTTCTGTCATTTGTCACCTTTGCTCACTAGTCACTATTCTCAGTGAGTGGGGTATGTGATTTGGTCCCCTTTCGATGCAGGTCTGTTGTCAGTGCAATTGAAATTGCAAAGGCAATAGAATAAATGTTTACCCTCTTTGTTTCCTTTCCAAACCAGTAGAATAATTCAACTGGAAGCTTCCTTGGCATCTTGCTCTAAATCGCCATTTGTATCAGAAGCCCGGAATAGTTGCTAGTTTTATATGCAATTCTCTTGCTTGGTAACTGAGAGATGAGAATTTATACGCGGTTGGATTTCATGTTTACACATTGGCAGAGATATATGTTCACGTCATGTTGAGGCAAGAAGCTAGAGAAAATAGTCTGGATGATGCATTCTATTCCTACATCAAAAATCACAATAAGGTAACAGGAATTCTAATCAAGATGCTATATTTTCCCTGTCTGTTTGACATGAGAAGAGGCACAACCCAACCAACAATGATGTACACTTTTACTGACATCTTTTCAACAGTGCACTAGAGGTTTAATACAGAGGAAGATGCAAAAATGTTTGGCAAGTCTAGTTGAGGTAACTGAACGTATAAACTTCAGAAATGGAGTTGACAAAGAATAGTACTAACTTTTCTTGGGTGCAATTTTGCAGGTCCTGCATAGGGGAGCTGTGGAATAGGAGAACAAGATTACCAGGAGAGGAGGAGGTTGGTACAAGTGTATAGTTTCCTTCTTGAAATTCATAGCCTATGCAAATACTGCCTTAGCTAATACTGTGTATGGACTGATCTGTATGCATGCAATACAATGGTTGGGTGGTAATGATACTTGCTTTGGGAACTCACAAGTTTAAAGCTGAAAAAAAGGCTGGTAAAAGTGTAAAGTTATACTTGCTTTGGCTTCTCCTTGTTCATAACTCATAAGGTACTTTGCCGTGATCAGCTTACTGTTTTGATTTGTTGTTGAGAACCAAGGATCTTGTTTTGTTCACTCAGTTTGTACTATATATGGTGCAGGTATTTCAAACAAGGGGCAGAAAAATTTAAAGGAGCTGGGTGATCTCTCAAGCCAAAGTGATTTCTTTGGCAGATTTTAGTTTCTCATTTTTGTATTTTTGTATTTCTTTAATGAATTAGAACTGATATGAACTCATGTAAGTTGGTATTTTGGTTGGAAATGTAATGTGACCATTATGGGCTAAATTGCTTGCATTACGTTATGGTATTATAACCAAATCAGTAGCTTTTCTCAACTAATATATATACAACCAAATTAGCCGTCATATTTAGAACAATTTATAACCAAAAAAATGGTTACATTTAGAACGTATGGTTACCATAAAACATTGGTTGGAAATAATATTTATCACCAATGAAAATAGTTATTTTTGAACGAATAGATTGGTTACTTTATATACTTTTTACAACCAAAATTACTATTCATATTTAGATTATTAGCGACCATAAAAAAATTGGTAAGGATAAGAGTTTCATAACCAAAATTTTTTGTTACTTAATGATAATTACATTAGCTATGAAGAATAGTTTTGTAACCAAATTTTTTGGTTTTAAATAATGGCTTCTATGACTTAATCATTTGGTTGGTAAATAATATATGAATTGGTTGGTTTTCATGTTATTTGTGACCAATCAGGTATTCTTTCATGACTATTTTGAGAGTTTTTTTGTTACCAATTGCCTTGGTTGCAAATAAAAAACAATTGTGACCAATTGGGTCTTCCGTCACAAAAACACTATGTATTGTGACCAAACTCAAAACTTGGTCACAAAATGGTTTTCCTAACGCGGCAAATATGACCAAAGCTTCTACCAAAATTTTTTTGGTCACAACATAGGATTTGCGACTAAATTATGACATTTAGCGACCATTTTTACTCGTCACAAAAGGCAGATTCTGTTGTAGTGCGTTATTTTAGGTCAACCCAAATTTCTCGAGCCGACTTCGCCTACCGAACACTTCTTCTGATTTCTTTGTTCATGGACATACGTAGCCATTCTTTGACGTGAGCATCACAATGTATCCATGTCGCACTTTGTTAGAATTCCTTCGCTGGCTTGGGGATAGTACCGTCGACAAACCCGAACTTGTTTTTGACGATTAGGGCATCGGTGACATCGATTACCCACTCACTATAGTTCGTTGGTGTAAGAAGTTCCCCGACCTGTAATTGACTGTTACCGTCGGAGGGATGAAGGTAGAAGACCGACGAGGTATCCAGATTGACACTGGATATTTCCTTGCCGTGACTGGTAGAGGACAAGTCCAAGGCTTTGGTATCACCTTCGGGACCCATGACGGACGACGATGATTATAGGACCTTTTGCTTTGATACCATGAGAAATAGGATTGCGGAAAGTAAATCGACACTTTGTTTAATGTGGTTCGGCTCACAGGAGGTGAGACCTACGTCCACAGTGAAGGGGATTTTCTTATTACATTACCTGGCCAATCGGCCATACATCATTATATATAGCCTTCCACAACTCTGCTAGGGTCTCATAAGTGACAAGATGCTCTTTCCTAGTCTCAACGTGACAAGGAGTCTGCACGCCCATGCAATGTGTATGATGGGCCAACGAAGGTGGATCACAGCCCAATACTCATGAATACCCGTTTGATGATCACCGCCCCATCACCAAGCGCATCATCGGTGCCATCATCAGCCGACAAGCTGAATCTGCCAATTGATAGAGCCCTAACCGAGGGCCTCATTGTAGCTCCGCCTTGGGTGACCGTCATGCGTAGACAAGAGACGACGAGGACTGTCCCAACCTTGATGAGTCACAATCACGGTATAATTTCGCCGCAGCCGCAACCACGCGGAATGCTCCACCTCTTTCCCCGCTAAATTTGATGGAAATTCTGGGTACAAAGGTGAGAGTGAAGTTTTGGTGGACGTAACTGAAATCCATAGGCTCCGAACCCTCCATCTTACCGCGGGCGCCATCGTAGTGGCCACGAAGTCGCCTCAAACTTCCTAGCCAACGAGATCGCCCGCTACAGCAAGCCACGAGCAACGACAATGGGTATATATGCGGGATGAGAAAGTTGTCCGCGTTTCAATTCGACCCGGGCGGGAGAGAACTCGACCTCCCGTTGCTACTTCCTTAACTGCACTGCTATCATCGATCGTCCCGGTAATTCCACATCGAGTAATGGAAGACCTATCTGCCGAGGCATTGGTCGCCGATCTCCATCCGAGCAAGACAACTCAACGGACGATGTCAAAGTTGAAACTGTAAGGTATTAATCGTGGCTGATATTGTATTATGAAGGGGTATTTATACCCAATAGTTACAGTGTACAACGAGATAGGATACTACTGGAATAAGGACAACTATAAACACCTGGTACAAGGAATACAAACTAAACAAGGACTAGGAATTCTTCCCTATACGCCCCCGCAAGAGGGAGGAGGCGTCAGCAAGTCCCATCTTGGACACGAGAAGACGATAACGAGTGACGGGAAGAGCTTTCGTGAGTAAATCAGCTAGCTGAATGGCAGTAGGGATATGGCGAACAATCAACTGCTTGGTCTGAACAAGCTGACGTACAAAGTGATAATCCAACGCCAGGTGCTTCATACGTGAATGAAAAACTGGATTTGAACTGAAGTTAACGGCACCAAGATTGTCACATAGAAGAAGTGGAGCGCTGGGAAGTGGATAGCGGAGCTCGGACAGTAGATTTTGAATCCAGACAGCTTCGGAAGTGGCCAAGGCAAGAGCCCGATATTCCGCCTCGGTACTGGATCGAGCAACAGTGCGTTGCTTTTTGGACTTCCACGAAATCAAGGTATCACCAAGGTAAATGAGGAACCCAGAAGTGGAGGTGCGATCATCAATATCACCAGCCCAGTCAGAGTCGGAGAAGATACGGAGAGAAAGAGGCAGAGACTGGCGATGAATCTGAAGACCCACAGAGCGGGAACCAGCAATGTAGCGCAACAACCGTTTGACGTGCTGCCAATGCGTAGAGGTCGGGGCATGCATGAACTGGGATAACTTGTTGACCGCAAACGCAATATCCGGGCGAGTAGTGACAAGATACTGAAGTGCCCCAAGAACTTGTCTGTACAAAGTAGCATCGGCAGGAGAAGAACCATCAACAAGTGCAAGCCGAGAGGTGGAAGCAAGGGGAGTCGAGGATGGAGCAGCTTCATGCATTTGGAACCGGGTAAGGATGTCTGTGACGTATTTATGCTGCGACAAAAGGTAGCCTGTGGAAGTGGGTATGACTTCAATGCCAAGGAAATAGTGAACATGACCCAAATGCTTGAGAGAGAATCGATCAGAGAGCTTGGACTGAAAATCACTTAAGAAGGCCGCATTGTTGCCCGTGAGGAGCAAGTCGTCAACGTACATGAGAAAATAGGCCAAAACACCACCCTGAGAGTAGATGAAAAGAGAAGCATCCGAGGAGGTTTTGACAAATCCACGTGAATGTAGGAAGGAACTCAAGGCATCATACCAGGCACGCGGAGCTTGACGTAGACCATAGATTGCTCTTCGAAGACGGCAAACATGATGAGGAAACTGGGGATCCCGGAAGCCAGGTGGTTGAGACATATAAACCTCCTCATCAAGAGGACCTTGAAGAAACGCATTGTTGACATCATACTGAAAAATGGGCCACTGTGACGAGAGAGCCAAAGTAAACACGGTATGAACGGTGACGGGCTTGAGCACTGGACTGAAAGTCTCATGGTAGTCAACACCGGCTCGCTGATGGAAACCTTTGGCAACCAGGCGACACTTATGTCGCTCAATAGAACCATCGGGAAGCCACTTGACTCGATACACCCACCGGCAGCCAATGACATTGTAGTGTGGTAAACGGGGAACCAAATCCCACGTAGCATTTGCCAGAAGAGCACGATGCTCAGTATGGAGAGCATTACGCCAGACATCGTAGCACATGGCCTCCTTGACGGAAGTCGGTTCAAGCGGTGGGGAAACCTGTGAGGAGACAACATGTAAATATTTGCGGTTAGGCTTAACAATATTGTTCTTCGCCCGAGTTTGCATGGGATGGTGGGGAGCCGGGGCTGGCGAAGACGCAGGAGGAGATGAGCTTGGTGACGACGATGCTGATGTCGAAGGTGAAGATGTTGCTGACTCGTCCGAAGGAGAAGGCCTAGAAGAAGGCGTGGCAACCGGAGGAACATTCTTGGGAGCTAAAGTGGATGAAGCCGGAGCATGTAGCCTGCAAGGAAAAATGGAAATATGGGGAGAGGTGGCAGTAAGCCAGGACACAGAAGTAGAGTCAGCCGATTGAGAGGGAAACACAGATTGGACACCAGGGAATTGGTCTTCAACAAAGAGAACATGACGGGAGAGAAAAACACGACGCGAAAGAGGATCAAGACAACGATAGGCACTTTGTTGGTGAGAGTAACCAAGGAAGACACAGGGACGAGAACGAGGTTCAAGTTTGTTGGAACTGTAAGGACGCAACCAAGGATAACAGAGGCAACCAAAGATACGAAGTTTAGAATAATTAGGAGCTTCGTTGAACAAGACAGTGAAGGGTATTTGACCACGGAGAGACGAAGAAGGTAAACGGTTGATAAGATAGACAGCGGTAGTGAAAGCATAGGACCAGTAAGACAGTGGAAGATTAGCTTGATGTAACAGACTAATACCAGTTTCAACGATG